GACCGCAAGCTACATTAAAGTGATTATTACATTTTGAATATGGATATTTTTCTTACAAAAACGAATCAATTCGCTACAGAAGGCCTTTGTTCACCCCCTGGAGCTGTGTGAGACACTTTTTTTTTAATTTCACTTCTTTTGGACTGATGCATGCAACACCTCAGCAGTCATATACACCTAGGATGACTTGAGGGTAAGTAATTTATGGGCTAATTTTCATTTTTGGGTGAACTAACCCTTTAATACTCTTGGCAATGCGTTTGGGAACTGTGGATACTCTGGGTCTAGTCCGAAACCTTGTGAAGTCCAGTGAGTACCTCATTTCATTTTCATCAGTCAAAGCATGCATGTTTAAAAAAAATAAATAAATCTGTTGGTGTCAGTGCAGATAGCCTTGTGGGCAGTGCGCTGACATATAATGCTGTTGCGCTATGGGTGCCCTGAGTTCGAATCCTCCCTCTATCTCTCTCCCACTTCACTTCCTGTCAGCTCTGATCTGTCCTATGCTAATAAAGTCAAAAAACACCTATATATATATATATATCAGTTCATTTGCCCACTTCATTTGTTTCTTACAGCCACCTAAACCAGCAAATCCAGCGTATACCTCAGTAACTCAACCAAGTTTATAGCACTAGAAATATCAAACCCAACCTAAGTTTTCCGTGCTTTCTATTAATTTATTGGTGGTGTTTGCCAAGGCAAGCAACAGACCTTTAACATTAAAGTCCCCATTAAAGTAAAACTGAAATTTAAGCTAGTGTTCCCAAAACAATGGCAAAATTTGCATTTAGAAGATTTATGCATTCAAAATCAGCCTTTTTCACCAATATGGATCAACAGTTTTGATGACATTAATTCTGCACTTCAGTTTCTCATCAGATTTTTTGTCCAATTATATGCTCTCTAGATTATAAAAACGTCTAAATTGTAAACTGTGTATGAAATTGGTCACTTGTTCATGCATACTATTTTCTATATAGTGAATGCCACTATATAGAGGACAGTGAATGATTCAGACTGCTTTCCATTGAAACCTGGTTTCGCACGAGTGTCACTTGAATCGCTGCAATGCACACACAGTGTGGTTCAGAGACACAATTTTGCGCAGACCACAACGTGTATCTAACCCATTTGAATTGGTTATCAATTCATATTGAATTTCATATCTGACCAATTAGAATCTAAATTACACAGAATGTTGTAACATAGAGAGCACTGTAGAGGCAAATGGTTAAACAGCCGTAACATAATAAACAGCTTTGACAAGAAGAGGAGACAATGCCACGCACCAATATAAATGAACATCTTTTAATCATAATACCTTTATATGTCAAATCTTAAGAGAAAATACTCCATCTAAGGAATATGAGTATAAATGGAATTAATAGTAATAAAAAATACATTAATAATACTAAAGTATATGAGAAATATAAGACAGAAATATGAATACAATGTGGAGTAACAATTAAAAATGATAAAGAATAACTCATATAGAATATGCTGTATATATGAATATGAAAAATAAGGAAAAATATAACAAGACATATATTGCTTGAGACATGAATGATACCTGAGAGAGCTTTTTGGAGAATAGGTGTACTAAATAATACATTTCTATGGAACCTTGTTTCCGCCAGGAGTGTACAGGGTGTTTTTTCACAATTTGGACTTTTTTCCTCGTGATTCTGTTATATCCCTCTATTCTGACTTTTTCAGAACTGCAAGACATAGTCGCTGCCAATAGCCTTGCGCTATGGGCATCCCGAGTTTGAATCCCCTGACTCAAGGAACTTTCCTGATCCAGAATTGCAAGATATAAACTCAAGTGTAAGAATCTGAGAAAAAGAAAAGTAATTTTGCAATTTTGACTTTCCGCTCAGAATTGCGAGTTTACACCTGAGAAAGTAAAGTCTGAATTATGAGACACAAACTCACAGTCTGTGGCAGAAGTGGTGTAGGTAATTTTTAAATAAAAGTACAATGTAACATGTTACTGTAACGGAAGAGGTCTGACGCAACAGGTTAGTATAACAATCAAGTTTATTTTGGTCACAGAGAGTACAGGTGTAGGATCCAGGTGATGACACGGTGAGTGTATAGTCCGTAAAACAGTTTAAAGGATATGACGAGTGGAATGATCAGAGTCCTTTCCTTTGCAGAAGCTGGAATGCACACGGGAAGAGCACACACCTCAGCGATCCAGAAACTAGGAGGAACAGGAGACACTTGGGAGACGAGGAGACACTAGGAGAAACACATGAGAGAAGTAATGCAGGAAGTATTCAAATGGAAGCAGTAGCAAAGTCAGAGAGTCCTCTACGTGTGTACGAGACCGGACCATGAGGGTGTCTGAGGTGTGTGCTTTTATGCAGGCTGGTTGATGAGGTGCTTGATTAGTGACAGGTGCTGGTGCTCAGAACTCAGGTGAGAGGGATCGTTGTGATTGGGTGGTGGTGGAGCCTGGCCGATCTGTTACAGTACCCCCCACGGCCCGCTCCTGAGGGCCCAACAGGTTAGTATAACAATCAAGTTTATTTTGGTCACAGAGAGTACGGGTGTAGGATCCAGGTGATGACACGGTGAGTGTATAGTCCGTAAAACAGTTTAAAGGATATGACGAGTGGAATGATCAGAGTCCTTTCCTTTGCAGAAGCTGGAATGCACACGGGAAGAGCACACACCTCAGCGATCCAGAAACTAGGAGGAACAGGAGACAGTTGGGAGACGAGGAGACACTAGGAGAAACACATGAGAGAAGTAAGGCAGGAAGTATTCAAATGGAAGCAGTAGCAAAGTCAAAGAGTCCTCTACGTGTGTACGAGACCGGACCATGAGGGTGTCTGAGGTGTGTGCTTTTATGCAGGCTGGTTGATGAGGTGCTTGATTAGTGACAGGTGCAGGTGCTCAGTACTCAGGTGAAGGTGGTTGCGGTGATTGGGAGGTGACTGAGTCTGGCCGATCTGTGACAGTTACGTACAGTACATTTTTTCAAATCATTAATTTCAATGTTAGTACATAGTAATGAAAGAATAGTAGTTATATAGACACAATATAAAGTGAGTCTAACGCATTTAATGGCGAGACATTTCTAGCCATATAAATTATCAAAAACTTGGGCAAGTAAGCAAACAAACAAAAACTCAATGCAACAAACCACTCGGAATATCCTAGCAAATGTATAGCCTACAACAAATTAGAACACTTTAGCAACCACATAGCAGCACCCTTGCACTGGCAAACAGCATTTACTTCAGAAAATGTGGAAAAATCTAGTTCATATGTATTTGAAAACCCCTTTCTCTCAGTTCATTCACTGCCGTAAACCTTATCATGACTCGACTGATCTGCTTCTCAACCTCACAGACAGGGGCCAGGAGTCCTCAGACCAATCCCAGCCAGACAGACCCAAGTACCAGTATGAAGAAGGTGTGATGTTGCCCAGTTGTTGCTTTTTGTATTGTATTCTTACTTGACCCACTTTTCTTCAGCAAACCTGCTCTGATTTGTCATCACCTTTTCTAGAATTTAAAACAGATGAAGGACCAATGCTGTTCTGAACTGATCGGTAAAAAGTATATGCTGCTTATAATTATTTAAAATGATGTTTACAGAAATTTATAATTTTCAGTAAGTGATGACAGTATGACCTCTGAAAACATATGACGGTTGTTAATATTTATTGCCTTTGGGGGAAGAATTAATTTCCCTAGATTAAGCTGCACTGTAATCCTGAGTTCAGTGCTTCATCCAGGACAGCAAACTAGAAATATTTTCAAAATTTTGCCTATTTAGTAACTTTCAGAATAAAGGTTCACTGCCTTTTTTTTTTTTTTTTTAAAGAAACATTCTGTTCTGTTAGTTAGGTTAGCTCTTTTAATACAATTATTTTGATCCAAGTTGGAAAATTTGTAATTTTACCCAGAAAATCTCTATTTTATATGTACAATAAATGTCAAAATGTAAATAATAAAGTCTGTTCTATATTTAAACTGTTAATCTATTGCACTGGTCTTGCTTACATACTTTAATACCTCAACTATGAGAAATTTGCTGGATTCATTGAAAGTTCCTTTACCTCTTTTTCATATTATATTTCTGCAGCACTGTCTACCTGGTGGTACTTGTTTACTTATTATTGACTGACTGATTTATTGATTGATTAACTGATTAACTGCAGTAGCTCATAGATCATTGAAAATAGTACTGTACATTTCTGCCGTAATTGACCACCTTTATATTTTTGTGTTTCTCTCCATAGTGTCAAAAGTCGTATTTTACATGTTGTATTTATCTGCGATAATTAAAACGAGAGAATAAATATAAGAAGTATCTATCTGTCCGTCTGTGGATGGCATATAGGTCATTGTACGGCGAGTCTGAAGGCTCAGTAATCGCGTTTGGTTGGTCGGAGCAGTCATGTCGGAGCAGGAGTCTCTGAAGAGCTCCAGCGTGAGGAACCGCGGAGGAGTACAGCGAGTGGAGGGCAAGCTGAGAGCCAGTGTGGAGAGAGGAGATTATTATGAGGCCCATCAGATGTACCGGACATTATTCTTCAGGTGAGCTTTATCGAGGAGTAGTAATGACAGGCCGGGGCCCCGTCGCTTCCAGATCTTTCTTGTTGTCAACCGCGCACGGTTCTCGATTGTGTTGATTGGCCAACTGCTCATCCTCACCCGCCCCTTGAGTCGTATCTTATCTCTGATTGGCTAGTCTCGACGTCGTTTATGTCATAATATCAGCGTGAGCTATGTAGCTACATGCTAATCTGAAGAGCAAGGTTGATAATCAATTGGACCAACTGAATAATCTGTCAATTATATTGTAATATAATAATACT